GGATGGTATGAATTGGATTGATCTGGCTCAGGATAGGGACCAGTGGAGGGCTCTTGTGAACACAGTAATGAACCTTTGGGTTCCATAAAATGGGAAATTCTTGAGCAGCTGCAGATTTGGCTCCTCCTCAAGAAGGGCTCAGCTCCATAAGTAAGTTACTAAGTAATAATTTCTATGAGGCATTACCAATAAACCTTGTTTTCTCCTGGAACATCATTTTAGTGCTACAGAAAACATGAGCAGAATTTTTTTTAGAATACTAGTATCAGCAAAATGTCGCAGAGGTGTCCATTTCTATGTAATGTCAAACTTCAATCCTGACAACCATGTATGCACAAAACAGTAAAAAAATGTGACATACAGAAAGCCTGTGAGCATATTAAGGAGTCCCTGATGTCAAAGCCCGAGACCTAGCAATGCAGCAAGGAACCAAACAAGAGTGATATAACAGACTCTGGAATGAGAGTATATACTTCTAAACAGTGCAGATATTTGTAAATAAGATGATTCAGTGTCCCATAATTCCAATTACCAATCGGAACCCTGTATGCATTCACCATCATATGATAATATGCAATAATATGGTTGGATTAATAAGTTGCCTAGGAGCTGAAGTCTGTAAAATGAGTGCAGATATTTTATTGGTTCCTCTGAGAGACGACTGTAAGGCATTCCTCTTCACAAAGGTTGTTAATTAACTATAAATTAATTGCAGGATTATGGTACCAACATCTAGTAAGGATTTAAGCACACGTTTGGCTTGTAGTTTTCTAATAAAAAGTAATAAACCATTACTACAAATTAGATTAACTTCCTTGTTTTAGGAGGATATAGTTATAAATTTAAATGGGTAATGTGTGCTGTTAATTTTTAAGTATTAAAACTCAAACGCACTTATAAGAGTTACACATATTTTTATAACAATAGTTACATGCAAATTACATTGATTATGTAATAGGAAGATCTCACCTGAAAGCTCTGCAATCCTTTCATTGTTAATTGCAAGGTACAACTTGGGATGATAAATGTGGCCATATTTTACATCTTTTATTTTTAATCCAAGTTCTGCATCAAAATGTTTTTTACCATCTATATTCAGACCAAACTGGATGTATTTCTCTTTTTCAGTGTTCTTGTATTTTCCTGCAACAAGCAATGTCTGTTTCAAATACTGATGCTGGTGGAATGAAAGCCCTGGAGAATCTCTAATGATGTCACACAGGCATACTCTGTAGCCTCAATTGGATCAATGGAATTTTACAATAAATGAATGAATTTGAACTATCTCAAGTGACGGTCCTTAAATACTTCATAATACTCAACTCCATCCATCCACTAACTACAGAGTTAATGTCTATTTCCAGATGCTCATCTTCAATAAATGCAATCTTGTGAATGGCTACAGCATGTGCGCAATGTAAATGAGCTAATTTTACATAATAGTCTGTGGGCAGATGGAGTATATTTTACATGTGAGGTTGTGTTCAATGTTCACAGCAGTCATCTCTGGGCATGGGTTAATCCTTAAGCTATCTGCAATGATTGTATGAATCTGAAGATGGATATGTAGATAGGTTCAAATTCCCCATTAACATTCTTTGTTACTCTGTATACACTACATATGAAAAAAAAACTCTGTGGTTTTAGTCCGCAAGTGAACTATACTGACTGAGCAACTGCCACTGTTGGCGAAGTTAGTCCCAACTTTTGTGGATAGAGTGTGTTGCATGGTCAGCGCAACAAATCCCCACAGCCATTAATTTCGGTTTTCTAGACTGGAGCCACTATTTCCTTTAAATAGCTCCTCCATAATCACGAGGCTGAGTGGACCATGTTCCAGACCCACTATTTCTCAGAAAATCTGGTAGCGCTGGGAACTGAACCTGGACCTCTGGATCTGTAGCCAATAACTCTGACCACTAGACCACAGAAGCGGCCATACACTGTATACAGTATGACTGTCTTCAAATTTAATTATGACACTGCATAATACAAATAACTGTAAACAATGATTTCTTAGCATAAATAAAAAGAAAATTTCAATTTAAGATTAGCCAATTTCTTTAGATATGTATCAGTAAGGCAGTAAATAAAATCACTTTCATTCCAAGAGAATTTAAAATGCTAGATGTTATAGGAACATAACAGAAAATGATAAATTTCTAATCAAAATTTATCCATGTATGTTAAAATTATAAAACTCTTTACCATGAGCTTGAAATCTGCTGGTGTTTGACTGCAGAAGAAGAGTCAGGTTCTGACTGTTCATATCGAGATGTAGCCTTGCACTCAATTCTCGTTTTAATTTGGAGTCAGGTGTATCAAATACAAGGCTTATAACAGTCACATTCTCCTGAGAAGAAATCAGCAATCAGAATTATTCTTTCAGTCTTCTTGCATAACCATTACTTTAATATGAACAGCATTCAGAGAACAGCATGAATAAAATAAAAAGCATGGCCCTAAATTAATATAACCGATGTATTACCTAAAATTAATTCATATTTAAAATTAAATTTGGACACAGAAATATACTAAACTTCTCTCTTAAATGAAACAAAAATCAACAAATTAGCTAATATGAAACTACCTATCGATACAAAAAACACAACTGCAGTCCTGAAGTTGGCAAATGTTACATTTTCGAATCACTGGTAGTTTGTGTTGCCATTGAATTACTTCAATTTTCTAGTATGTCTTTCCTAAACATTTTTAATGAATAGATAAATTTTTGTAAACTAAACACAAAAATTAACTCACTGGACTTCAGGATCAGGTTTTACCTAGGGGACATTCTAAAATCCTAAGTGCATATATTGATGAACTGATTGACTTAGTTTCCAGTTATTAAAATTAACTCCTACCAGACCAAACTGAATAGACGTCTCCTCACCTTTTAACCAGAAGAAGAAAAGAGATCTAGTTTTTAAATGTTTTGTTCTTTTGAAATATTAGATGATGCATATAGTCCTGAAACTTGGTAATCCCAAGTGTAGTACACCATCACCAGAAATTTTTCACATGAAAGTGATGTTGTACTGTACGCATAATTTAATGCCAATTGGAGATAAACATGTATAACTACACACATGGAATTTGGTATAATAAGATATTGAAACACTTTGTGTGTGCTGAGCTATTTACTTCATAGAGTAATATATTCCAGTCAGTTTGCTCAAAATAAGACTGCAGAATCTACCAAAGCCTTGGTGATTGCTTGTATGGTGGTGGTGTTATCAGTTTTACAGTGACAATAGTTTATGTCATATGTTTGATCCCTGAGCATAGCACTTTATGAGATACGAGGTCTACAATTGCACAGGTACAATCAAATTCCTGTAGCTGATGAGCTGTTGAACATATATACAGTAAACAGTGATGTTAACTGAAAGATCATTTACATATGAGGATACTTAATTAGCTTTCATAAAACACAGCATAAATATTAAGTTTCTACAAAGTGGGATTTGTGGTGGACAACGTGGCACTGGGGTGGGTTTTCTCCAAGTACTTTGGTTTCCCCTGCCAATCTTCATTCCACCAAATTCTCCATCATCATAATCACCCGGGGCAGGCTACAATAGGCCACCGAGTGGACCCAGTTGGACTCCACCCCCCCACTAAGCGAACTAAAAAAAGTTTCTACCAAGCCATAAGTGCAGCACTTACTTTAGTAGTATCCCATTTGTACTCAAGCAAGTACTTCTTTGCAGTGGGATCAGCTTTTTGTAGGTTAGCAGTAAGCTTGGCAGGGCCATTAATGATACACTGACTGCTACTGTTAAGCTGACAGGCTGGAAACTGGTAATCAGCACAGAAATTCAGGCCAAGTGTTTGATCAACTGACTGCCAACTGCATACATGCTGTTCCACTCTGCCTTCCTTAATTCCATCCTGATATTCCTCCTTATCACCATTCATAACTATCAGCTCAGATCTGAAATAAAATTGTGGCATGTAGACACATTGTTACGCAATGCTGTGAAACAATATCAATGTCGTTACTATAGGATTCTGACGATGGTGTATAACACACTGAT